ACTAAAACTAACCTACAACTACTATATACACCTAACCTACTATATACAAATTGCTTATCAAAGCAAGTTCTGATAAATTACATTTTTCTGCAAATTTAGTCTATTTTTCGTTAATTCTTGAATCTATTTTGGCAATTCCTGCCTCTTCGTGTAAATTTGTTATTCTAGTGTCGAAAGGACGATCAAGAACCATCCTCAGCACTCTATTCTGAGCGACCTGGATTTTGTTCCTGTGAGTCTGTGCACATGATTCCCACACCGGAGCTGCGTAGAGGATCGCAGGTGCTATGATTTGTTTGTAGACGGCCAGTTTGTTCACCCTTGAGAGGCGGGATCTGCGGCAAATCAGCGGAAACAGACACCTAACCAAGGCAGAACACTTGACTACTGTTTTCTCTACATGCGCACGGAAGAGGAGCTTTTCATCAAACAACATCCCGAGATAGGTTACTTCGGCGGACCACTCAACCCTTGTGCCATCCATGATTACAGTACAAGATGGAGCCGGTTTTAGTTTGGGCGATTGCCGATGGAGGAACATGATCGCTTGTGTTTTGGAGGCATTGATTTTGATTTTCCACGTGGTGGCATAATCAGCAAAGGCGTTAAGGCATCGTTGAAGTTTGTTCGTTATTTCGCGAGGCATCCTTCCTTTGACGGCTATTGCGGTATCATCTGCGAACAGGAAAAACACGCAACCGTCTCCGAGGGGAGGAATGTCGGAAGTGTAAATGCTGTAAAGCAAGGGGCCCAGCAGACTGCCTTGCGGGACACCTGCTGGGATGGAAAACGTGTCTGAAAGACAACCATTCAACGATACCTTAAACGACCTTTGCTGGAAACGGAGTACAGCCCATGCTGTGACTGGTCGAACAGGAGACGACCGTTCTGGTTCTGCTGGTAGTTCCGCCAGGCCTCATGGCGAGCATTCAGATCTCCTCCAACTACGAAGCGGGAACCGGTACGGGTGATGGTGGTCAGGTCCTTCTTGAATTTAGCCGCTAGTCCACTGCTGGCGGCACACTGTCGAGGGCAGTAGACGGCGATGAACTGGACGTATCCAGTCGACGACTCCACCTCCACACCAAGGGCCTCGATGATAGAGGTGCGGATATGGGACAAAGGGTGGTATTTTATTCCTTTCTTGACGACGACCGCAACACCCCCCCCCCCCCCCTGGAGCTGGTGCAATCAAGCCGGATAATGTTGTGGTCAGGCAACCGGAAGCTGTCGGCGGACTTTAGATGGGTCTCGGTTAGAAGGCCCACGTCGATGCTGTGCTTGCGGAGGAAGTCAATCTCTTTTGCTCTTACAGAGCAAGCATTCCAGGTGACGATACTTAGCGGTTTAGACGCCATACTGGATGATGAACTTACCGAGCACTTGGATCTGTTCGGGCTTATTGCGGCACTTACGAAGAGCACCGGACATGTTGACGAAAATTTCCATCAGTTCATCCGCTGAGAACAGATCGGGGTTGTTGTTTTGCGCTGTTGGTTGTCTCCAGAATCCAGGGGGGATGGAGAGCTTTGGCCAGCAGAATCACCGGAAGTTGCTTGAGCGGAATGCACCCGCGAATTCACTTGCCTTTGCTGAGGAGCCCGAAGGGGCGGAAAATCCTCCGTCCGAAATGCCGGGACTTTGTCCTTCTTGCGTCCTGGTTGGTTGTTAGTTGCCGCCTGTTTTCGGATGCGTTTGAAGTCCTCGCGTTTGGAGCACTGTCTGTCGGAACCTTGATGAGCACCACCACAGTTGGCGCATTTTAACGCCACGGCTCCATCCGCAGGGCAGTTGGAAGTGGCGTGTTCTTGAGCGCAGTTGCTACAGCGTGGCTTGATGTTGCAGTTGCGAGTGCCGTGTCCAAAGTTCAGACATCGTTGGCACTGGGTCACATTGCGATGGCCTCCACGGTACGGCTCCCATCGTACGATTATGGAGTAGATTGAGCGGATAGCCTGCAGCGCATTCAGCGTCACCGTTCCCTTCTGGAAGTGCACCAGGAAAAGACAATCCGGGTACGTCTTCACGTTTTCGTCTCGCCTCGTCATCCGAAAGACAGCGATTGGGGCCAGCTTGTACCGGTCCTTGAGTTCTTCTTCGATCGCCTTGGGATCAACATCCGGTAGACCCCTGATGACTACCTTGAAGGGCTTTTCACCGGGAATGTCGTGCGTGAAGTATTCCGCATTGGAATCCTTCAGGAATTTGACTGCGATTTCGTATTTCGCTTTCGTCCGGAGCATCACCTTAGTGCCGATCCTGCTGATCTTGTACTCAGCTGCGATGCCCAGCGATGCAAAATCGCCAATGAGCGTCTTGAGTGGCACTACCTTCACCACCAGTGGAGGAAGCTTGACATTCACCGCACTCGGGCCGGCAGAATTCTCGGTTTCGACGGCGTCGCCGAAATCACCGATGTCGCTGGCGTTCGTCGTGGTAACATCGTCGCGTCCGCTCGTACCATCGGACTGTCCTTGGTTCTTCTTCCTCTTTTTTGTCCGCTTCACCGGGACTGGGTTGGTATTTCCAACATCGGTGGGCAGAGTAGCGTACCTATTTGAGGTAGGTACCGAGCTACCCTCACCACTATTCTTCTTCTCCGCTTGGTCACGAAGTCGGCTCCGAGAGCGCTGTCTTCTCATCACGCGATGCGACCGACACTACTGACGACGCGACGTGCAGTATATCTGCGAACGTTTGTAACAAACTATAGATTTATCGAACAACTCGACAAAGCGAGCAAAGACCGAACTGAACTGCTTGACATTCAAGCAGAGAATGATGAGCAGTGGCATGAGAGCAGCGCTGATTTATATCTTTTCAGGTTCAAGCAGAATGATGTGCAACCAAGTGGTATTCGTTTATGATGACTGGGTTTGTGAAAAAGGCTTATATCCTTTCGATTGGCGTATTTGGATTTTAATTTCATCTATAAATGACAAAGTTACAAGCGTTCAAAACCTAACACTCCTTCACCACACATATTTTTTGATTTGCACCCCAGTATAGTCGACAAAGACGTAGTTCTACGTCAAAAAACCGCGAAGCTCTAAGACCAATTTTATGAATTGACCACTTTTACGGTTGTTCCGGATCTTCCAGAGGGTCACCCTGTGGTGTTCAGAGTCCATTTTCCGAATATAATTCTCGGAGAATGTCCCTATTGAGGCCTGCAATCAATAAAATACCATCAACGAGTGTAGAAAACAGTTCACCTCAAAGGATACTAATTGAATTCTACAGGCTGACAAAATCGGGTCATCACTGTATTCAAATTATGAATGAATATAAAATATATATATATTCATTTGAATTTATTAATTTTTATATACACTGCAGATACACCGAGTTTCAATATTCAAAACAACCCCTCTTTCAGCCCCCTCCTCTAAGCTACATCCAATATTGGTAAAATAATCATATTGTATATTATAATACTTAATTATTTCAAATGTCTGCATAAAAACTAAAAAAAACGCAAAATAAAAATACTCCGGATAATCGAGTCTAAAATTCCGGATAATCGAACCCCGGATAATCGAGTCTCCGGATGATCGAGTCCGACCTGTACTCAATTCAACATTTTTAATATTTTTTTTTTCAGTGTAGTATTTACTTTTTTTGTATTTTTTTACATATCATCTTGTGAAAACATTTCTAGATAGAGCTGGAATTAGGGCGTAACAGCTTTTGTAAACAATGACTTCTCTCGATGATTTCTCGAAACTCAAGGCACGCCCACGCCAACCAACATAACCAACGGGAAGGGGAAGTCTTCCCCTACTTGATGGTGACGTTGATTTGAGTAGGCGAGCCTTGGCTTTCTAGATATCATCGAGAGACGTCATTGTTTACAAAAGCTGTTACGCCCTAATTCCAGCTCTATCTAGATTTGTGTAGGAATTATCAATTTTGAGCTATAATTATTTGTAGAAAATGTTGGAAAAACTAGTACGGCCCTTTTCAAATGCTGATCGTGATTTGTTTAAATAACATAAACTTTGCATAGTTTCTAAAGTAGAAGATATCTTTACACAAAGTTTCATTGAAATTGAAATTCTTAGGTTGGTAAAGTACGTTCCCCTGACAGATGAAATGTCCACGCATTCAATTTTTCGGCATCAATCTTCTGTCAAAGTATAAATGTGTTTGAAACCAGTTCATCACTGTTTCCCGTGCTGTAATTGCTTTGGGATATTGATTGACTCACAGAGCAATAAGATAGCGCTCAGGCAAATATTTTCGTTCAACAAAAAAAAAAAAAACGTTTCACCAATCATGCACCTCTTCCATTTCACCTATCGCAGTCATTACCATCACCAAACCGGGGAGAAGCAAAAAAGAAAAACAGACACAGTAAAGAAATTACTCACGCGATCGCGTGACTTGGGCGCATTTATCCACGTTGACATAGAAATCGTAAATGTTCTTCCATAAATCAGACTGCCGGTGACTTTTCCGAGTATAGCTGTGAACTTTGGCTTCCAAGCCATTTTCGTCATTCTTAATGTCCGTATTCTTACCAAGGTTAAATGTGCAGAAGCCAAACAGCTAGAAAAGCATTTTAAATCTCGAAACGGTTCGGTTTTAAATTGCCGTAATCGCTCTTGTTTCAAATCTTCGTAATTATATCAGACCATGAGGCAGGTTGGGGGCAAAGTTTTCAGAAATTGTAAATAATTACACTTTTCGAAACTCGCCTGCAGTTGTTAAAGTAATTAACCTTCGCCGTGTTTAATCCGGGTGAGGATGATTTTTCCGCACGGAGAAGCAAAGGACAGGGGGAGGTTTGCGTGTTTACACGTGGCGACACCTAAGCTCCCCGGAGTAACCTTCCAATGTATTGTAGGTAAGCCAATGTACACAGGACATCGCATTTCTCGCTCTACACGAGGAAAAATAACACACTAATTCGAGATAGGCTGGTTCATGAGGATGCTTGGGAAATTAAAAAATTCCGACCGTGGTCAATTTTTGCCTGGAATTAAAGTTACACTCACCTTGAAGAACAGCCCGATTTGGAGGCCACGTTTCTTCACCAGTTTGTTTTTGGCCCGGCTATCGACCTGCAGGGCGGCTGCAATCTTGACCGCACCGCCACCCTGGCAGGCAAGGTAGAACCCGGCAAAGAGCAGCACTACAGCCGGCACCAGAAAGCCCCAGATGTAAGCCGAACCCTCCATGAGCCTGTCGATGTTGATGATGTCCACAGTGTCCGAAAAGCGGTGCCGCCGGTTCAGATGGGTAGGTGAAAAGAGCAGAAAAACGAAGAGAAAATTAGGGGGAATTTAATTACGGTTTGGGGGAATCCCCCCCGAGGGGTCGGCTAGTATCGCTGGTAGTCGCCTTGGGAAGGCCTGCTGGGAGTGATTGTCAGGGTCATATTAGGCACGGTGGTTGGTAGGATTTAAATCAATTTCTGGTGGGATCCGTTGCAGAATGTAGCATTTTCCGAGCTAATAGGATCAGAGTAAAAATAGCTAAGGGGTTTTATTTTGTTAAAGGGGATGGATTGTAGAGATTTCGTTGATCGAATTTTAAAATGGGGCCGTTTAAATGACCCTAATTTCAGGCAGCTACTCGGTCACAAGTCGTGTATCTCGTTGAATGCTCGTTAGCTCCCAGCCAATAACGGTGGCAATTTCGTACGAACCCATAATAACGAAACAATTACCGTTAAATTCCATACAAATTGCAAGCGTTTCCAGGACAAGCCCACATCCTACACAGAATAAAAAAAAATGAAATCTATTACTTACCAGCAGTGACTATCGCCATTCAGGTCGTGTACGATCTGTGCGATGACTTGTGCTCCGGTGATTTTCACGTCCCGCTCCTTGTACTTGAAGGCGGCGGCCACGCCTAGCATTAGCAGCGGAAAGCCCCACGACAGCAAGCTGAAAAAAAAAACAACAAACAGTGGGTATTAGTGAATCACTTTTACTCAACGGCTGCATGCAACCGCAAAAGTTGAAAGCTGAAACTCGCTGAAAACCAGAAAGTCATGCCGAGCTAGCGGGAAAGGCGAAAAATCGATTTCGGTAGAACGTCGTCGTCGTCGTCGTCGTCGTTTCGTGAGACTGCTTTGTGGCGTGTCGTTTGCTCGGTGTGTCCATCTTGAGAGTCAGATGTTTCACTTTTTATTATCACTTTCCACTTCGTTCTCGTCATAAAACTGTCATTATGTGTCGTGAAATGGAAAACTTTATGGCTTGCCGGATGCTTTCGGATCCGCACCTTCGCCCGAGGGGAGGGTTTCTCGCATTCTGGACGCGAATGTATCGGATCATCGTCATTGGAAAACGGAAGAAGGATGGGATTTGTTTGAGATCTAACGGCAATGTTCTGGGTGAGTGGTTATGGCTATTACTGGAGAGGGGGGTAACTCTTTCAGAAATAAAGTTTGGATAATTCCATAGGAGTTAGAGGAACAAGCACGACACAGTTTGAACTCTGGGAACTTGCTGGGAAAGTTCGCTCGAAGTTGGATATTTTTCAAAAAGAAGTTGAGGGGTGCAATCGTGTTTTGTTCATGAAGCTTGAATCCGGGAGTTTGAAGGTGACGGATCCAATAGCCCATTTCAAGAACGAAAGCATTCCTAAGCTACATTATCGATACTAATAAGCCACTGATAATGAATTGAAACTTCCAATCAAGCAGAAGTAACTATTTTTGATTGACACATTTTTAATGAGCAACAGTTAATTGTTTTGACATAGGACTACGTCTATGATTTCTATATGGCGGTACACTTTGTGAAAACCGAAGATGGAACGTGTAACAAAATTATGAAAGGTTTTGAACGTTAATAATTCAGCTGCCCCTGGACCAATTTCAATAAATTTATCACCAAACGATCAGTAATATTTCTACGCATTGCTCTCGAATGTTGGTTTTCAACAGGAACCTATTGAAAGAGTGGTAAATGTCAGGCATTGTCCAAAAGCGCCGAAATAACTAACAAATCCACCAATTACGTCGTACATGCATATGCTGCAGTCATCAGAGAATCGTTTCTAGACGAAACTTGTCGATTTAGCATTGCTGCTTCCTCAACACTGTCATCAAAGTTAGAAGACGAACAAAGTCGAAGTCTTCGGGCGTGTGCGAATAGGGAGGATGCAATTGCGTAACATTTTGCACACTCATAACTCACACAAAATGCTCTCCAGAGTTGTAATCTTATAACCAAACTTGGAAGTGATTTTGATCCACTTTCTGTTTCGTTAATAACTCGACGGCAAACACATTCATTGATACGTTTTTTGTTCTGGATGATAGGAGAGCATAGTAGAAATGGTGCGAAATTCGTTGGTAAACCCATGGTCATGAAAAAAGGAAATCGATGAAGAGAATTGACTTTCACCCCTCTGCTTCTAAGTAGAGAAGAACCATGACGTGAACCAGGATCATATACTCGCTGAACAAAGTGAAGAGGTTTTCGGATGGGCAAACAAAGGAAAAAAACTCACGGATTGATAGAGAGAAAATAAAAACAACGTGTATTCACTTGGTTTGATTTGGTTGTAATAAAAACGGAAATGCAACTGTCAAAACGGCCGCAGCCGAAAATACCCCAGTGGTGTGGAAAAACAGTGGGGGCACATGGAGTGCAGTGGTTGCCATCTCAACACCCCTGCTCAAGCACAGCACGTCTCCAATCCTAGCTTGGACCGAAGAACCTTGAAGACAGCTGCCGGTAGACCCTTAGTCATAAGGTCCGCCTGTTGCTCTGCCGATCGCACGAACTTGATTTCGATCTTACCTTGTTGTACCAACTCACGCAAGAAGTGGAACTTGGTATCGACGTGTTTCAGCCGCTTGTAGTCCTTAGAATCCTCGGCGATCTTGATCGTGGACTGGTTATCATCATAGATTGGGACAGCTCCGTTCAACGGCTTTTTCCAAATCTGCCAGCAACCGCATCATCCACATGGTGTGACACGCAGCTGTGCATAACGCCGCTAGCTCCACCTCCGTCGATGACAATGATACGGTCTGCTGTTTCCTCGTAAGCCAACTGATGGTACTCCCATACAGCTTCATCACGCAGCCGGAAACCGAACGGCGATCATTCAGATCGTTCGCCCAGTCCGCGGCACAGAAGACTTGCAGCAACGGTACATTTTCTTCCACCTTAAACACTAGACCAACATCCGTCGTTCCCTTGATGTAGCGGAGAATCCGTTTCAGGTGGATCCAGTGTTCTTCATTCGGGCACGACTGGAACTGGCTGAAAAAGTTCACAACCGCCGCCAGATCCGGTCTCGTTGTGATCGACGCGTGCGTCAAACACCCCACCAGTTCGCGGTAGGGCTTCGACGTTCTCTGCTTCTCGTCTCCCTTCTTCAGTCTCAGCCGGTTCTCCATCGGCGTCGAAACGGGTTTGCAATCCGCCATGCCAAAGCGTCGCAACAGCCCTTCGAAGTAGTCCCGCTGACTGATCTTCAGAACTCCTGCCTTCCGGTTACGATCGACTTGCATACCAAGGAATTGTTTGATCTCACCTTCGTCGGTCATCTCAAACTCCTCCGCCTACTTGCGTTTCGCCGACTCCAGCATCTGCAACGACGAGCTGGCCAGCAAAATATCGTCAACGTAGATCACAAGGATCATCTTCTCCTTCCCAGTTCCACGCGTTGGCGCTCCGAACAAATTCCAGCTTACTGATAAAACTATGGAACCTGTCGTTCCACGCTCGGGACACTTGTTTTAACCCGTATATAGAGCGGTTTAGCCGACAGACCAGTTCACTTCCTTGCTGGAACTCTTCCGGCTGGGTCATATAAATTTCCTCTGCTAACTTGCCGTTCAAAAACGCGGTCTTGACATCCATGGTGTGAACGAACATCCGATTCTCGTTGGCCAACGCAAGTACAGCCCGCAGCGTGTCGAGCTTCACTACTGGAGAATACGTATCTGTATAATCGAAGCTTTGCTTCTGTATAAAGCCTCTTGCAACGAGCCTTGCCTTGAACCGATCTGCCTTCCCGTCGCCGCCACTCTTTACCTTGAAGACCCATTTACAGGTGATCGCCTTCCGCCCAGGTGGCAGCTTGACCAGCGTCCAAGTTTTATTCCGCTTCATGGAACTGATCTCCTCGTTCATCGCAGTCTTCCACTTTGGCCAGTCATCACGCTGCTTCAACTCGGCGATCGAATTCGGAATGTCCTCAATGAAGTTCATGGCGTTCAAAGCAAAACTGGCATATTCCACGTCGAAATCCTTATGCCATGCGGGTTCCGACCGTACTCGTTGAGGCCGTCCGTCTCCAGTTTGACCAGGGGCTTCATCACCCAAGTTGTCATCATCAGCTTCTTCACCATCAGCGGAGTTGTATTCATCGTCTGAAACGTCTTCTTCCTCAGGACCAACGTTGCAGTCGTCGTCGGTTTCCTCGACGCTCGCCGGTGCCTCTTCAATCAACTGCTTGTCGGCATTGATCTGCTCCCGCTGCGGACGCCCTGTTTCGGCGAAGTCTACATCGCGCGCTGTCACGATTGTCTTCTTTACAGGATCCCAGACACGATATCCATTGTGCGCATAGCCGACGAGGAGTCCTTTCCACGCCTTGGGATCGAGCTTCCGCCGTAGTTCCTTCGGCACGTGAACGAACACATCACAGTCGAAAACCCAAATGTTCGACACATCAGGCTTTCACGATTCCCACAGCTCGAACGGAGTTTGCTTCTTCTCGAGCGCTGCAGTCGGACTCCTATTGACTAGGTAGGCCGCCGTCAACACAGCTTGCCCCCAGAACCTCTTGTCCACCGCCGAATCGTCCATCATGGCCCGCGCCTTTTCAACGACGTCCGATTCATTCTATCGCTCAGCCCGTTCTGCTCCGGCATGTATGGCACCGTCCACTCGATTTGGATGCCTTTGCGTTTGCAAAACATTTGAAATCGCTTGCCTCGATATTCGCCGCCGTTATCGCACTTCAGCCGCGTGATCAGTCGCTCAAACTTCGCCGTGACGAATGCCTCGTACTCGTCGAAACACTCCGCTACCTCGTCTTTCGACTTTATCAGATACACCACCGTGAAGTAGCTCCAGTCATCGATGATCGTCACGAAGTATTTCATTCCGTCAAGTCCAACCGGCGTCACCGGCCCACACACGTCCGTATGCACAAGCTCGAGCACTCGCGACGATCTTCGTTCTTCACGCGACGAGAAAGGCTTCCGCGTTTGTTTACCCACTACGCACGGTTCACAAACGATGGTATCACCGGTCGCACCAGTTGCATTCAACTTCCGTCCCGATACCATTTTGTTCTGCACCAAACACTTCAATCTTCTTTCATTTAAATGTCCATACCGACGGTGCCACAGTTCGAAACCTTTCTGCACTCGACCACACGTCAACAACGAGGCATCATCCGCACTGTGCCTTTCGGAGTAAAAGTCTAGTCCATACAATTTATTCTTCAACGAACCGCACGCGACGATTTCCGAACCATTGTAAATGTTTACTTTTCCAGCCTCAAAAACGACGCGCATTCAAGCCTGCTCGACGCGAAACACCGAAAACAAATTGCAACGCAGCTGCGGAACGTACAGAGCGTTTTAAATTGTACAGTCTACTGGCTTACCTTGAACCACCGCTACCACCTTCACCATGCCGGAGTATTCCGCTCGAATCGTTTCGCCATCCTTAGCCACCGCAATCTCGATGGGCTTCTTCAAACGATGCAACTCACAGAATAATCCTTTGTCACGCACAAGATGATCCGTAGCTCCCGAGTCGATGAACCACTGCGTTCGGTTCTCCTCGGAAAGGTTCACTCTGTTGACACTCACGAAACAAACACTCTTCCGTTCGCCAGACTCCGCCATATTCGCCTTCGAGTTCTGCTTCTGCTTCCGAGTGGACTTGTTCTTCTTCTCTGGACA